TGAGAGAGGAGGGAGGAAGTCGTTTTTGCTGTCGGAAAAGGCCTGCGACGTAAATCGACCAGATTGACCTGACACAGTGGAGGGCCCGCTGCTGTAAAGCCACACTCCAGTGAAACATTGTAAAGGAAAAAAAAAAGAACGCAGATTTAATGTCAGCAACGCTCCAAGCATGATTCACTAGAATGTGACACTTGTATTTACTGTTTCCCATCTCTGCATTCCCTCCTGTGACCATCAATTTATTTGTCCTCTGCATAGCACTCAATCTTCATCTCGTTTCCCTCTCTTCCCCCCTTTCAGTTCGAGAGGAACGATCCAGTGAGCGGCAGGATCACAGAGAGACAGTTCGGCGGTATGCTGCTGGCCTACAGCGGCGTCCAGTCCCGTAAACTCAAGCAGATGCAGAAGGGCTTGAAGAAGATGTTCAAGGATGCGCAGGTATTTAATGCTGCCGTGTGGTGGTGTGAGCGTTTTTAACTAATTGGCCCATATGTGAGGACTCTGGACAGACGGTGTGTGTGCCTGAGGGAAAAGGAGATTATTCTGGAACATCGTGAGAGTGTGAGAGAGACAGGGACGAGAGGAAATAACTCTCACACGGCGAGGACAGCACGTTCAGAGCCTCGTCTTATCTCCCCTACACTCCTCTAGTTTCTTCTGTCTCGCTTTGAGGTGACCCAAGATGGAAAAGCCAGAGCCCGGTGGACGGGCAGAAAGAGTCCTACATCTCCCTTTGTGCTTGTTATTAGGCACTTTCTATGCAGGCTCTCCATAACCTCCCACTCTCTTATTGATTCTTTCAATCAGCAACTCTTTATACACTTTAATCTCAGACTGAGTACAGCTTTGCAAGTTCTCTTACTAAAAGAAAAAAAAAAGAGTGTTGACTGTTTTTAGCCCGTTAAAAACACATACAGAGGTTACAGCCCGCTACAGATTTGACTCCCTGCATCTGCCCTCCTATGAAGTTCAGTTCAGTTCAGACCTTTATCGTCCCTGGAATAGAATAGAATAGAATTACTTTATTGATCCCAAACTGGGAAATTGTGGCGTTACAGCAGCAGGTTGTCCAACACACAATATGAGCAAAACACACAATATTAGCAAATTTAAACACAATATAATATTAAATACAAAGTAAATAAGCACTAAAAATGTCAAAAATAAGAATGGGAATATATACATCCAGGATTTAACTAAGCATTACTAGTTTTAAATATGAAAGATTAAATGTAAATGTGCAAAAAACAGAGTTGTAAATGGACAGTATTGACATAGGGAGCTGTCCAGAGCTGCTCAATCAGTGATACTGTGATACAAGTTTCCCCTGATACTGAAGGGAAACTTGACTTACAGCAGTGAACAAAAACACAACAAATAAAAAGACATAGGACAGTGCAACACAACCTCATGGAATACAATCAAGATCGCATCAATATGATGCTTTTTGTAGTCGTCCGTCCACTCAAAGAGCTTAAAACTGACTTAAAACCCTGACTCTGATGGCAGATGCTGATGCTATGTAGACTGCCAAACCTGAATATTAGTTCTGATCTAATCATTCACATGTATTCACACACCAAATCGGAAGCAATTTGTGGTTCAGTGTCATGCCCAGGGACTTCATGTTGGCTGCAGGAGCTGAGAAACAAACTGTGATCTACCAATAAGAAGACAATCCTGCTCCACAATTAAGACACAGCCACCCTGTTATCCACTTCTGTTTCAGAAGGAGAGAAAAAAACAAGATGGCAATGGCCAAAATGTCACACAGATATTTCTAAAGGAGGTTCATGTAGCTGTAGATAAAGTCCTTGTGGCTGCGTCCATTTTTTTTCACACAATCTGTAGCACGGACTGATTCTCACCAAACACCACCACGCTGCTCTGAGCAAAAGATGGCTCCACTGGGACGCACCAAAAAGAGAACATGTGCAAAAATATTTTAGAAGCCCTGAAGCCATCTTCACTGTACGTGTGTGCCTTTTCTATTTCCAGTGTTTTGCATGAACTTTGGCTTCACGCTGGTTCCTCCTCATGAGTCAGCTGAGTGAAGTAACACCCATGCATGTCTTGTTGTCATGGAGAAATAGTTCCCATATTGTGTTTGTTTTTCTTTGGCCTTAAAAACAGTCATCACATGGTAGCTGTTATATATACATTAAAGCTCCACAGACGTCAGAAGGCGCTGTGATGAAGAACGTCTGATGGGTAAATTAAGCGATTAGCAGAAGAAAGGAAAACCGGGACGCTGCTGTTCCTTGTAGGCATGACAAAAAAAAAGAGCTGGGTGCTGCAAGAATTGTCTCTCTAGGGAATTAAACTGCAGTAAGCATCACTCCCTCTCTCTCTCTTTCCATATCTCGCTCTTCCCCTCTTCAGCTGTTTATCCTCTCTTTTTCCACCTGGCTATCCGTCTCTCATCACTGCCGTAACCTGTACTGTAAACGAGAAAAAGAGTTATTTACTGCCCAACACCAGCTGCTCGCTTTTCTTTTGCAAATGAGCTCATCAGCACTGTGGCAGCTGAGCGTCTGTTTGTGTGTACACGTGTGTGTGTGTGTTTCCCTGTCTGTCCGTGCCACACTGTTCATTCATGTGTGTCCTGCTTCTGCCAACTTCCTCGCATCATTTGTGTCACTCTGCCGAGCTCATGCCCATAACGGCATTGTGCTGTCGCAGCTCTTGTCATGAAAATATATTGGTCTGGTTTTTCACAGGATGACGGCGCTCTAATGCCTCTGCAGAGAGGATTTGTTAGATAGATAGATAGATAGATAGATAGATACTTTATTGATCCTGAGGGAAATTCAAAGCATCCAGTAGCAGGTTACAAAGACATACATGACATGAAACCGACGCCCCCCCTCCCATACATATATATTAACCTGAAAAAAAGTTTTAAAGAATACCCCGAGATGAATCAAACTTATACCTGTGCAATTAAAAATAGACTTATACAAGAAATGTACATAACCCGTGCAGGGATAAATACATGTGAAATTTACAGGCTTTATTTGTGATTTTTCACACTTAAATATAATATAAATCAAGTCTATCCTCTGAAAATAACTCTGTGAGTCATGACTGTCTACAATGGGTGTAACACCCGAGTCCCACTGTCTGTGATGTTTTCAGAGTTTTCAGAGTCCTATCTTCACTTTGTTTACATCGCCAGGACGGCCGGCTGACTCCTCCCCTCGTGTATAAAAGTTGTTTAATTGAGGGACTAGAGAAAAGAAGAATAACATACTGTACTCACTGCTTAACTGTGTTTCTAGATCACGCTCATTTCAGGTAAATTTACATGCAGTTACATTGCACTTTCTGCTTATTTGCACTTCTGGTGAGATGCCAAACCTCATTTCGTTACTCTATACTTGTATATGTGTAATGACAATAAAGTTGAATCTCATCTCATCTCAAGATACAAGCATAATAAAGATCGCTAGCATTAGCATGCTAACACAACAATGCACCGCGAGTTGTTTTGGTTTCATGCTGTTGCTCAAGGGCGACACCTGCTGGATCAAAAAATCACATATAAAGCCTTTAAACAAGAACCTATAAACAGTTGACAGTTACATATAAAAATCTGTAATTAGACCTGACTATAAAAAAATAAAAAAGTGTTGACCTTCTGAAGTTGTGTTGTTTATGTGTACTGCAATGTTTAAAAAGAAGATAAAGCAGACATTAAATAACAGTCAGTGCAAACATTAAAGGTGCAATTTTCCCCCTCACTCAGACCCCTTTTTAAAAAAAAAAAAAAAACTATTTCCCCCCCTTCTTGTGCAGGGCATTTCGTTTGAGGAGGTGGAGAACTTCTTCACTTTCCTGAAGAACGTGAACGACGTGGACACAGCGCTGAGTTTCTACCACATGGCCGGAGCCTCCATAGATAAAGGTACGCCCTCGGTCGCCCTTTTTCCATCTTCACATTGTCGCTTTCTTTCTTCTTTCTAATTAGTCTCAACTGTTGTCACTTTTCATGCTCCCGTCTCTTTTGAGCTGTTAGCGCTCAGCCAGACAGATCTGCTTCTCACGTCTCTTTTCAGCCTGATTCAGCCGTTTGTCATCCGCATGTCCGTCCGTTCATCTATGACCTCATCCTCTGGGCCTGCTAGTGAACGCATGCTAGCACACAAGAACATGCACACATGACAGAATACTTCATGTTGGTCTTTGCAGGCCAGTAATGCCCACTGACACTTGCTGGCCTCATCACTGGAGGAAGAAGAGGAGCTGACCTGTAGCTACATGGATGCTCTTTCTATCCGATGCGTCTGGAGGGTGTAGTTCACTCATGTACGCAGGCGTGTGCGTCAAAGGACGACTGTAAATGTTAAACTTTAGATTGTTATGTTAGCTTTTGAGAGGGAAACAGATAGATGTACTTCATTGAGCCCAAACCAGGAAATACAAGGAACCAAATAATGATGGAGCAGCAGCTGAAGTGACACATTTTTTAATGTAAAAATCAAAATACAACTAGAGGTCTGTCAGGAGAAACTCTGGCTGAAGTCTGAGTGCAAAATTCAGCTGTTTGCGTTCACACATGTAGCTCCTTCTTGGGAGTTTTTTCAGGAGTTTTCTGCAAGTGTGAAAGAACTATAAAAGTGCAATCAAAAGACGTAACTTTGGCTTCCCTCTGGAGACCGCTGCCTCAACTTCAAGCTGTTAGGGACTCGTGAAGAAGCTACTCAGGAAGATTTCAAGGGCAGGCTGAGCGTGCATGTTTGAAAACAGCCAACAATGGTTTAGATCTCCCAGGTGATGGTTGGTCATAACAAAGTCAGAGGGAACCAATCAGCAGCAAGAAAAGCACAGGTGGTAACCTATCAGTCTGTATGAGGAGAGGTAGAAAGTTAAAAGCAGGACTGGAATAAAAACAACATGTAGAGACTATTTGTCCAAAAACAAATCTTAATGAAATGTAAATAAACAGAACTGATCCCCACTGATGCACCACGGGGATGTGCAGCTGAAATAATCCAAATCTCCATGAAAAAAAAGAACAAAGAGCATCATGCCTCCTGCTGCCTCTGTGTCGAGCTGGTGAAAAACCCACCTACCTTTAAAACCTCAGGTGTTCAAAATGTAGCAAACAAAAAAAAAATACTGACGTAGTATTAGAAAACTAAATCAGAATCAGAAATACTTTATAAATCCCAGAAGGAAATTATTCCCTTTTTATATATAAGAAAATGTCAAAGATCAAACAAACAACACTACCTAACGACAAAAAACAGCTGATGACTGTAGCACTTTGAGTTTGTTTTAAATTAAAACTATATTACAAATAAAAATATTCTTATTATTAGCTCCATCATAATGTTTGCCCCTGCTTAGCACCTAAAACAGTTATTGACAATGAAAGCTGTTATAGTTTTGATAAGAAGCAGCTGCAGTTGGATGCTCCTTTAAAGAAGTAGTATGTAACTCTGACACCTAGTGTTTAAAATGGGTACTGTAGTCTAAATTCTAAACATTGTAGAGAGCCCCCTCCTCTCTAGAGTGGATGCTCACGCAGGTCACCATGTGATGGACTCTGAAGCTTCAGTGTTTATCCAGCTCTGCATGGGTCTGTAAACCTTTCTGTGTTCTAACCTCTCTCCATTTTTCAAAAGCATCTCCAGTATTGATCCTAGTTTGAGCACGTTTCTGCTCGTGGAGCTTATTAGAAACATGCAGAGGCTTTTTAGGTCGGGTACAATCACTTCTATCTGAACCACTTCTCTTGCCCGCTTCCATCGCTGCAACACCTGTTGACCTGATAACTGCTCTCATATCTGACAAACCGAGGGGCGTCCAAAACCGCCTTAAAAGCGCTTTACCTTCTGGGGTCCAAACAAATCCAGAGCATTCAGGAGCAGAATCTAAAGTTAGAAGGAGGACATACTGGCTGCTGCATTGTTTTCAGAGAAGCCAGCACTTCAACATGTTTCCTTAATGATCAGATAGCAAGATACCTTTATCATCTCACTCTCTACACATCTCACTGATTGCTGCTCTAACATTATCTGTAACTCCAAACGGCGACGAGTCGAGGGAGAGACGCGTAAAGATCGAGGCTCAATCTGTGCTGGATGTGATGGATGAGTAGTTTACTGTGCAGCGTCTTTAAGATGTGGATCTTTTGAAGGATTAAATCTACTACAAGAAGAAGATGTCATTACTGACTGTAAAATGTATTTAATTGCTTTTTGCAGAAACTGAAACAACACAAATAGATTCATAAATCATCAGCTGTGTTTTTAATTTGATGAAGATGTGAAGGACCTAAAGTATCTGACTGACGCTGCTGCATCCCCGACGCACCGGGTGTCAAATGAGTCATTGAATGAGTCCTTTTCTCCTTTATCTCACTGAATTCATTCAGCCTTGTCAGATGCTAACAATGAGAGTCGTTTAAAACGTGAGAGCGACACAGGCAGCGAGGAACCTGTAGCTTTTTTATGATATGGCGACTGTTTGATGAGTCGGTCGTTCCTCCATTTATTGCAACAATTCAGCCCTTCAATGGGCCTCCATATGTTTCTCTGTCAGCTCATTCATTAGTTCTGATTCACTGAGGAAACAGCTGCTGCTTTAAGACAGAGCAGGGTCTAACCCTGAGGTGCTCGTTTTATTCCAGCGTGCGGTTTTCAGCTGCATGTCTGCACGGTAACAAGCCGAGCGTGCGTCTGTGTCTGTACTTTCTGTTTGAGAGTGCCTGAGTTGTTGAGGAAGGCATCGGGCTGCTCAAAGTGATCCTTGTCCCCCGCCTGAAGTCCGCACAGTGCCGCAATCGTCCCACTTTCCAAAGCCTGAACGAGCGCTCCTCGTCATGCACGTCTTTCATCTCATCTCTCCAGTGTGATGTCTTTACACCCTTCAGTACAGTCTCTGCTGCGTGGGCGCGTTATCTGGCCGAGCACTTTGTCTCCTGTAAAGGTAGAAACCAAGGCCCCTCATTAGAATCACGGTCGAGTGATTCAGCTGTTTTTTGTCTTTCCATTTGAAGGGAGATAATGTCAGTTATTATTCTTTTCATCCAAGGCTCTCTCTCTCTTGCCCTCTCTCTCGCTCTCTCTCACATAACTATTTCAATCTTCTTTGTTTTTCCACTGTCTTCCCCTTGAAGTCTGATAATCGATACTTTTGATTTATGCAGCAGTTTTTGTTTCATCATTTCATCTTCTGTCTGCTTTTCTGAAATTACCCCGAGGATTCACTCCTCCTGCTCTCATATCTGTTACCTCCATCCCCTTCTGTCTTCCACCGCTCTCTTTCTCACCGCTTTAAGGCACACACTCAGTCTCAGCCGGACGTCCTGATGCTTTCCGCTCCCTTCCCTTCCTCCCTTCCTCCTCCCTCCTCCTCCTCCTCCTCCTCCGACTCCTCCTGGACGATTTGGCTCGCACACAATGTCCTCCACTTTGGGCCATTTATGAGCTGGCTGGTGTGACTTGCACCTCCATTACTCTGTTCCACAAATTATAAATCTCTCCTCTCTCTCTCTCTCTCTCTCTCTCTCCCTCTCTCTCTCTCCCCCCTCTCTCTCTCTCTCCCTCTCCCCCCTCTCTCTCCCCCACCTCTCTCTCTCTGTCTCTCTGTGCCTCTTTCTCTCACTCCCTCTCTCTCCCCCCTCTCTCTCACTCCCTCTCTCTCCCCTCTCTCTCTCCCTCTCTCTCTCTCCCCCTCTCTCTCTCTCTCTCCCCCCTCTCTCTCCCCCACCTCTCTCTCTCTCTCTCTCTTTCTCTCTCCCCTCTCTCTCCCCCCCTCTCTCTCTCTCTCCCTCTCCCCCCTCTCTCTCCCCCACCTCTCTCTTCTCTCTCTCCCCTCTCTCTCTCCCTCTCCTCTCTCCCTCTCTCTCTCTCTCCCCCCACCTCTCTCTCTCTCCCTCTCTGTCTCACTCTCTGTGCCTCTCTCTCTCTCTCTCTCTCTCTCTCTCTGTCTCTCTGTGCTCTTCTCTCACTCCCTCTCTCTCCCCCCCTCTCTCTCCCCCACCTCTCTCTCTCCCTCTGTCTGTCTCACTCTCTGTGCCTCTCTCTCTCTCTCTCTCTCTCTCTCTCTGTCTCTCTGTGCTCTTTCTCTACTCCCTCTCTCCCCCCCTCTCTCTCTCCCCCCCACCTCTCTCTCTCTCCCTCTCTCTCTCTCTCTCTCTCTGTAGTGACCATGAAGCAGGTGGCGCGCACCGTGGCCAAAGTGGAGCTGTCTGATCACGTGTGTGACGTTGTGTTCGCTCTGTTCGACTGTGACGGTAAGCGCTCGTCCTTTTGTAATTTATTCATGGCGAGCACATGCTGATTTCTCTTTTCAGTCCAACCTTTAATAAAACTTTATTGATACATAACTTCCTTAACAGTGTTTTTAACCATTTGACCACAAAATAAATTCTTCTGGAATCTTCCTCTTACTCATTCTTCTTCTGTTATCTCATCATCATCCCACCTGTCCATCACCTCCTCGCTCGTCTTCAGGGAACGGCGAGCTCAGCAACAAGGAGTTCATCGCCATCATGAAGCAGCGTCTGATGCGTGGGCTGGAGAAACCCAAAGACATGGGCTTCACTCGTCTGATCCGCGCCATGTGGAAGTGCGCTCAGGACACCGCCTGGGACTTTGCCGCGCCAAAGACGCAATAGAGACGGGAGACGGGGCGTGGTGCTCGCATCATGGCGGGCTCCCTGACTAAAGACTTCAGAACTCTGCAGCTCTGCGGGGCGACCTCCATCATTAACGCATGTCGCTGTAGACAAAGCTCTCATTATAGTGACTGAAGCATGCTGACTCTAACCTGCCTGAGTGAAGCATCATGGGTAATTGTATATTCTTAAGTAAACAAAGTCTATTAGTTTTTTTTTGTTCTGTGGAGGAATGCAGCTTGAGCAGGAGACGCTGTGAGCCTTTTGTTTTTAAACACTAAAAAACTGCATTGAAGAGTTTAACACACCTCGTCTGAAAATGTTGTTTGACCTTCATCGTTCATCCTGCAGGACGTCTGCTCCATGTTGACTAAAGACCCGCACACCCAGGACGCACTGCACGCTACAGCAGAGCGTAGCGTTTCTTATTTAGGCGCTCATATTGACAGGATTGAGCAGCCGCACAGCCAAGCATGTCCACAGGATGGAAAGGATTCATGATAGAACAGCAACCAGCAATTTAGGCTTCAAAACACCTTTCAATACATGTAAAAGTTAACATCTGTTAACATAAAGCTCCTGTGAGGTTTTAGCAAGTCATGGAACAGACTGAAATAAATACTAAAGGAGCAGTATGTTACTCTGACACCTAGTGGTAAAAATGGGTACTGCAGTCCAGATTCAAAACATAGTAGAGAGCTGTCTCCTTGTGCCCCTCCTCTCTTGAGCCGATGGGCAAACAGGATCCCAGGACCTGATAACTGCTCTCATATCTGACAAACCGAGGGGCGTCCAAAACGGCCGTGTGGGGGGTCGCCTTAAAAGCGCCTACCTTCTGTGGTCCAAACAAATCCAGAGCATTCAGGAGCAGAATCTAAAGTTAGAAGGAGGACATACTGGCTGCTGCATTGTTGTCAGAGAAGCCAGCACTTCAACATAGCATGTTTCCTTAATGATCAGATAGTAAGATACCTTCATCCCTCTCTACACATCTCACTGATTAGACCTTTATTGTCTCTTTATGAGATACAAAAGCAAAAAAGATCGGCCTGATGTCTTGATGTGTGATGAGGCGTTTACCAGCATGCTGCAGAAACAGATTTCTACAGTAAAGATTCTCGATGACTGGTACGTTTGGCTCCTTAAAGAAAACAGAATGAAGTTTTTTGTTTTGAGAAAAAATACTTTTACATGTACAGGGAAAGTCTGCAGAGTAACAACATGCCGCTTTGTCCACAGGGGGGCGCTCAAAACGTTCCTCACAGGAGCTTTAAGTCTGAAACTCAAACATTTGATGATAAATGGCTGTTTTCAAACTCACTCAGAGATGAAGAGATGGTCTGCACAGACTGAGGGACACACAGCACTGATTTCTCTTTGTTTTGGTCAGAGAGCGGATGTTCGTAATCTCGTTAGCACCTCTTCACTCCATCTGAAAAGCTCCAGCTGCATCTTTCACTCTGATTATTTTGTCCAATCAGAGATCAATGATGCTCGTCCTGCTCCACGGCGCTCCGCTCACAGCGTGCATTCCTCTAATTATAACTCACTGAAACACTTTATATAGGATGGATGGTTGAAGAAATGCTCTATTAAAAGATGTTTTTAATAATATGAAAACCGATTAGCTCGTTTTGTGAAGTCTTCTTCTGCCTCTGAGTGTGATTGTTGTATTCTCTGTGACTCGGACATGAGCGCGGCGTGTGGCGCTCGCAGGATTAGCGGGACTTATCTGTGAAAGGCCAACCCACGGTGGTCGTTTGTCGTGTGTAATGACATCTGCTGTGATGTTTTTTTGTTTTTTAGCCTCAAAACGAAATTGCTGATTGTATGCAGCTGCTTTGAGTGTGTGCCAAAGGATGGTGATGTGAGTGTGAGGACAGTCAGCAGTTTAGTCTAATTGAAATGGACGGGATGGGCAGACCTCGGCCTCTGCTGCCCATTAAAAGATTGTCCTGCAGCCACACACACACACACACACACACATGCTCTCTCTCGTTCACATAGCGACTGACTGACAGACGGGAGTGGTTCTCAGGAGTGATGGCAAAAGCAGGAGATTGGGTTGAAGGGCCGGCCTGTCATTCATCAGTTTGCCTCGTCCACGTCCTCACAGAGCTTCAGTCTGGCATCACGAGCACGTGAAACGCCAGGTGAGGTTCAAAACCCTCCACTTAAACCAAGAACTGTTTGTCACGTTTATCTTTGTGTAAATCTTAAAATCACTGACTCTACAGAAAGAGAAACATCGCTGATCTGGTTTGGGTTTTAAATTGAGCTAATGCAGCTTAAAGAGAATGCAGTCGGTTTTTTTTGGCAGCCTCACACATCCCTGACTCGACTTACATTTTTGGCTCTTTAATCTTTCCCATCCATTATCTATACAACACCATTTGTTAAATGTTGTTGAACATGCTCATGATGCTGGAGAGGAGTGACTTCCTGCATCCAGCCTTTCAACAACCATTTAATCTGCACAGAAGAAGAATCCTCAGTGTGTGTGTGAACAGCGTGCGTGCTGTTCATCAAAGCGTGCATACAGTAAATCTGAGAGCAGGGACTGAGAGCTTCATTAGGCCACAGATAGAAGGTGCCATCTGTCATATATTATGATTAATCCCCACATCATAAGCCCTATTTATCATTCTTATTATTGCAGCGATGTAAAAACAAAGTGTTACACTCTGCTCACTTCTCCATGAGGGGTGAAGGGACGGCTTTGTGCAGCAAGGGGTCGTAACATGTTTGAGTATTTTAAACAGACTGGGGAGAAGTTTAAAGTTAGTCCAACAGGAGTAATGTCGTTTTTTTTTACAGAAGGCAGTAAAAAGGGACGAAATCTGAGAGAAAAGTCTTCATGAGTTTTGACAAAATGAGATGAAGTCTTAGCTGTGAAGAGTGACAGAGACTCTAAAACCAAATCTGTGCAGGAAACTACTTTGTAGAAACGCAGGGTTCAGAGCCCCCAGAGGTGCAGCTGGTTGGACTGGTTTCAGTGGGAGCAGAGCTGCAGGAATAATGAAACCAAATAGATCGCAGAGATTACAACCTTTTAGGAGCTTGACCCCAAAGTCCCCGGATGTCTCAGCCTCTTCTGAAAGTTTTTTGTATCTTACATATCGTCATATTGAATCGTTTATTCCTCAGGATGAGTTCATCATGCTGGGTTTAGGCTACTTGATAAGCCTGGAGAGGACAGTCAAGAGTCTGAACTGTCCCATGGCACGAGGATCACCTCAAAGACTGAACTGTGACGCACTGATGGTGAAGAGAGGTCTTACACTGCCATCTAGCGGCTAACAGAGGAATTACAACAAGTCTTTTTTGAGCCAGCAGTGTAAGCCCTGTTTTCATTAAAGGAACTAACTAGTTGTGGGTAGACTACACAGGATTTCAGGCAGCGCTGGAAACACAGACCATGATGGACCACGGGAACCTTTGGTTGAAATGAAAAACAGTCCGATTGACTGACTCTCTTCAATTCAAGAGATAATAAAACAAGTTATGGATTATTTCTTCATCGTAGACTGAATGTGTGTTTGTTATAGAAGGAGGTCGGTCTTTGTAGGCGGTATAATAACACATCATCCTCCTCCACATGGTTACTTTATCTTACAGCTGAATGAGAGACTTCCTGTTATACTTTCAACTATCGAAGATTTCCACAGATTTTTGAGAGACTATTTCTCCAAATCATTACTGTGATTAGAAAGTAAACCCTTTTCTGAAATGACAAATAACTTCAATTTGTAGTTTGATTTGTATCCCCCGGTTACAGTCTGAGTGAGTGACACGCCCCCTAAACACAAGATGAGGATTTCTTTGATATTTATGGTCTTGGTCTTGTCTCGGGGATGTCCTGGTCCTGTTGTGGTCCTGACTACAACACTTCTTTCAACTGAGTAAAGATTAATACCATTTGTTCCAACTTGAGAGAAAATAGTTCAAGAACTGAAACCATGTCGTTTAATCTGTCAGACTTTTATTCACCGCTACAAGAATTAATAAAAAAAAATTAGAGGTACACAAAAGTTCATCCAGTCGATTCAAGTAACTGAAACAAACATGGCGCTCTGCTGAAGTTGGGAGAGAAAATTAACCACGGATGAACAGATCGGGGAGGAGGCTTTGCTTCACAGAGAATATTTCAAGATGGCTTTTAAAGGTCCTTAAAGTTGAGCTGGAATAAAACGTAATAAATACACAGTATAAAACTCTACTCTCTGAATGTTCATTTAACGTGAAGAGGAAACAACCCGGGGACAAACAGTCAGCACACAGAAGCCAAAGAAAAACTGACAAAACGGCCAAAACAAACCTTGAGAATCTATTAAAGAAAAGATTAATGTCAGCCTTTTCCTCCACATCTTAAAGAAACGGCTCCGGATGGTCGGCTGTGGTACAAACTCAGACTGATGAAAACAAAGAGCTAACACTCGTCATGTGAGGTTAAAGGGGAAAATACCAAAGAAGGGGAGGGGCCAACTTAAACTGTCCACCATTTACAGGCGGCCTGCAGCCACCTAGTGGCTATAAGTGGTAATGTCACATTGATATTTGAAATCACAGCGGGGAACATCTCTCTCTCTCCTGCAGTTACACAAACTGTGGCTGCAGGTTAAAGAACAAAGAAACGGTCTCCATGACAACCAAAGGGCTGCTACCTAAACACAAGCGCTCTGCGGGTCACACGCCTCCCAGAGTCCTCTGCTGGTTGAAGATGATGATGATGAAGATGATGATGATGATTGAGGGACTGTGAAGAGGAAACTGATAGTCCAGGATCACAGAGGTGCAGTAGAGTTCAGGTGTGAGGGATCGGGGGGGGGGGGGTCGGATCGAGTCTTCAGTCGCTGTCAAACTTTATAGAGTTAACGGTGGTGGAGATGGCGCCGCCGCGGTAGCTTCCTCTCTTCTTCTTCGTCTTCTCGTGGCGGAATGATTTTCCTTTTGTGAACTTGAGCACGTCGTTGGCTTTCTGGCCCCAATCCCCCGTCGCTCCGTACTGGAACAACAAACACGTTTGGATTAGTTATTGGACAGTGTGATGTTTTGTTTTTGCTGCTAAATGACAAATACAGGAAACATTTATTTGATAAACACATGCAGCTAGCGAGGATCATTTTTATCACTTGAAAAAGTCGATTGTTTTGCATTTGTGGCTCCAAAAGGGGAAGTCGACCACAGTGAACCCTGCACAAGTGCAAGAGCACCCGATAGCAACCAGCGATGCAAAACAGTAAGAAAAGATGACTCGAGTCACATCCAGTGTGGAGAGAGTGACACAGAACAAGCCCTCCAGA